AGGAGAAAAACGACATAGTGGAAAAAATGTTGGCTGGGAACCAGATGGAGAAAACATAATCAACATTCTTCATTAAATTCTCAAACTTATAAGCATGATTTTACACACAAACAATAAGTGAATAATTTGTTTTTAATCCAGCAATCTAAGAATATATAATCTTTTACCGCAATTAAGACTCTAATCAATATGATTCTATTGAAAAGCCTATTAACTTTTTATTGACATCAGAATAAAAAATTATTTGCACATTTGTTTAAAAATTAAATTTATAGAGAATATATAAGATATTCTTCCCATAATAGAATGAAATGCCAAGGAGTTATTCTGGTTTAGTCGCAAGATCAGCGTAGTTTACATGTCTTTTACAAAGCTTTACATGAGCCTTTAACAAACTATTTCTAAAGAGTGAATAAGCTCTCAGATCTATCAAGATGTACGTAGTAATCTCAATCCTGAAATGTAAAAGAATATGAGTCTAGTTAATAAATATAATACATGAGTTTATGCATCGTGCTAAGTATCATTGCAACTTTTATACACTAAAATTCATTTCATGATATAATTCACACTCAGTTGTAACAAAAAATTTACAAATAGTATATAATCGTATATCTGCAACACATACACTGCATATAATGAAAAATGATAAAATGTAACCAAATGTCTTATGTAACAAAGTATGTTAATGTCATGTACAAAGGGACATTGCAAAATTTCAAAATTAGCATAGCCTATTTCATAACATGTGCATGGGATAGATGTCACATGTATGTTACATATGATGCAAAAACTAAATAAGGTACAAATATGTCATGTAAAAAAACTCAAACAGCATATTGAACAAAATTTGCAAGGGTAATAAGAAGAATAAGTAACAATGGTGGAAAACTCTCTCCCTCAAGCCGGTTGCCCTCGCTTTCTTCCTTTCTCTTGTTTTCTCTCTTGCACTACACACGCACGCCACAGAAAACGGCTAGAGTGATAGAGGATATATAGATTGGATATTAAGTCACTTAATTGTGTCAACAATAAGGTAAATGGGCCACAATAAACTAAAGCCTAAACCAATAATTGGGCTACTAAAAAACCAAGGCAAACTTAATAAGAATTGGGCCAAGACTCACATATCCATCAACTACAAGTCCAACTCCAACTTAGGTCATCCAAAAGTATAGGTCGTTAAATGCGCCACAATAAACTAAAGCCAAAACCAACAATTGGGCTACTTAAAAAACCAAGGAAAACTTAATAAGGAGGTGTTTGAGCTACATTATTTGGGTAATAATACATTCTTGAATAGTGTATTGATGAGAAATGTGTGGTTAAAAAAATGAAGAAAAGTTTTTGATCTGCGTGTAATATTATTTTATCGAAGCATGTGTGGTTGAAATGATGTCAAATTACTATTTAAAAATGTATTTTTTTGGAATAATGTGACTCAAACAGACAATAAGAATTGGGCCAAGACTCACGTATCCATCAACAAAAAGTCCAACTCCAACTACAACTTAGGTCATCCAAAAGTATAGGTCGTTTTCGAGTCGAGCCAAGTTTATGGTATCAATAAGTTATCCATTTTAAATTATCGTCCGGATTTATTGGATATCAAAATCCAACAAATCTTCACATTGATACCCAATCAATCTGCAAGCAAACTAAACACAAAATTTATACTTGCATAATCAAGGTAACTAATAAAATTGGTATCATGGACCTTATCTCGTGTTTCGAATTTGAAACACATACCACATCTGCTCCATGTATTCACCAGGCTAAGGTCAAATAACACCTAAGTAGAAGCAAATATTCAAAGAAAACAGTCAAGAGCAAATAATCATGCAATGAAAATATAATATAGAATAACACACAGATCTTTTCAAAAAATGCGTTCACATAGAACCATAGATTAACACCAAGTTAATCAACTAACAGCCAACACATAAGCAACAAATGCATAAATAACTCACGAAAAGATTTCACCACACTTACCCTATTCCATTCCATGTGGCTCATACCTCGAGAACGATATCTCATCTCATCGCCCACCATGCTCACTAGGCTGATCACTCAACTTATATCTAACTGGTAAATCACAATAGATCCTAAGTTCTCGGGATAATCTTCTATCACCACATTACTTCTCCCAACCTACGTGGATAATGAGTCTTCACCTAACATAAGTGATAGAAGTGTCCCTCTCACACTCAACCTATATAGGATCTCTTTATAGATAAAGAATTCCAACATTTAATCACCTCTCAACTTGTAATCCAAAATGTCACACTCCGCATCCCCCGTGTATATCACCAATGTACCTTCAGGATCTATACTCCACCTTACCAATAGACATCCTTACACTTAGTGCATCATAAACCCACTATGGTAAATCAATACCTTCGACGACCACAAAGGTCACAAATGTTAAGGCTCAATTTAAATTGACCCATTCACCATAAGGTTACGCCAATCACCAATGCTCTAAAAATCCACGAAGGAAATTATGAAATTGGCACTTATAGAGCTAATAGAAGAAAAAGTTGGTTATTTCACTACACTCACAAAAGAGACTCACAAAGAGGAAGAAGATAACCCACATATGGCCACCCCACATAATCTCTCAAACTACACAAGCTCACAAAGATAAAGGAGAAAATGACTGCCCCTCTTTCTTCTCAATACCATACTCTCTCACACCACTCACAAAGCAAAAAGAGTATGCCACAGATCTCAACCTACTATGCATACAAAACAAATTACACAAAGTAATAAGATTACTCTAA